CTTCTCTGTCCAATATGAGCTATTTTTTCCCAACCAGCCCGTGTATACGCGCCGTCGCGATCGTTCAATTGGACAAACCAAGCAAAACCGACGACGTAACGTTTATTCACGTATCGAATAACGTTAATACCGTGAAAGATTTTTATTGATCGATCGATTGGTCCGCGTGGAGGGAATGAATCGTCAAGGTGGTGGGTTCGCGGAAGAAACGAAACGCAACGGATTAAATTCTTCGAAATCGGATGGAAACGGTTCTCTGGAGAGAAATTTGAGGAGAGATACGCGGTTTGTGTACTCGGTGCACGCGCGCCACGGCTACGCACGTTTTCTTGCGAGAACGTAAGCACGCGAATACTATTCCGCGAACGTCGCATCTGCAAATGACAGCGGTTGTTTCCAAGTTTAACCAAAACCGTGTTGTACGTAGCCGGTTTTCCGATTCGCTTGCTTACCTCTATATTCACGCCAATTTCACCGCGGCTGCGGTAAAACGGTCGGAATAATTTCGCGCCCATTACTTCTGCCAGTCTCCGGGACGAATTTTGCCTCGAGATCGATCGAGAAATTCCACTTCTTTCTTTCTTTCTTTCTTGAAGAAAATTTATTCCGTCTCTCGGAAGAAAGCGAGAAACGGAAAACGCCATTACTTTCTCCCCGGATAAATAGGAAAGTGAGGAGATAGAGTCGCGATAAGGAATAATCGCGGCCTCGAGTTTTCCAGCCGAAGAATCGGCCTCGTCTCGACGCCTTTAAACGGCATCCTTCCGCATCGATTACATGCAAATTGATGGCAAATTGACATCGTTACGATACGGTGCGAGTTCAAACAACACCGATCATCGATCCATCATTCTGTCGGCCGGTTGTTAAGAACGCGGATAATTTGTCTATTTCGCGAAACTGAACTAAACAGCCATTACGGGGCACGACGAGGTTGAGAGATTAAGGGATCCAATTTAATCGAGTCGATCGTTTCCTTTGTTAGCGGAGGATTATGTAGCGAGTTTCGCGGTTAACGCAAAATATCGGGGCGCGTCTTTCTCGCGATATGCACACGTGTTCTTTATCTTCGTTATCGCGTAACAAGAGATCGTGGAAAGCTCGTGGAAAACGTAACAAATTTTCCTGGAAACTTATTACGCTACGTATCGAACGATAATACGCAACGATCGATTAACGGACGAAAGTAACTCGCGAGCAATTTGATTAGAGGAGGAGGAGGAGGAGCGTGGAACGATTAAGTATCCAATAATTTCACGTACGTTCGATTTATGAAATTATTGTTATTAATAAGCCCCGTTATAACGTGTATAATATTGCTTAACTGCGTGCAATTCGCGTTTAATTATTATTCCACGGTATTTATAGCACGACGCGGCACGATTATTAAACTCGTTTCGAACAACGATCGTTTAAAAACAATCGGTTTAAACAATCCTCGCGTTTCGTTCAACCTCCCCACGGAGATACGGAGAAGGAGGAGGAGGAAGATTAAAGATTCGAGAGGATTTGAGATTTGAGACGCGAGCGGAACGAAAAATTGGAGAGGCGAGCAAACCGGTTTCGTACCGAAAATTTCTGGCGCGCACGCTCGATCGAAAACGATGATGTAGATCATCGTGCGACACACTGTGTCCCTGATCATTCGATCGTATTCGATCCCAATTTCTCTCGTTATAAAGCGCAAGCCTTCTCTCGCTCTCCGGATGAATATTCGTTGCCGTGCAAATGGAATCGATAAATCGTCTCGTTCGTATTTTAAATCCTCGCCATTCGTGAAATTTCTTCCTTCCTTTCTCCTCTAAAAGATTAATTCAAGATCAACCGCTCCTAATTCCCCATTCTTCTTGCAAAGTAGAGAATCAAGCCGAGCCAATAACGTGTCCTCTTCCGTTGTATCGAGCGAAATCGATCAGACTTAATCCCTCTCCTCGCTTCTTCCCTCCCTCCTTCTTCAAATTCGCCGAGTATCCCGAGTCCCGTCACGTAACCAATTCGATCCGACGAGTGCTCCTTGATATTCGCGTTAATTCGAGCCTCGATCAATCCTGTCGCAACTTCGATGCGAATTTGTTCGACGTCTGTACGTACATCTTTCCCTTGATAATGAGGAGACGACGAAAGAAGAGAGAGAGAGGGAGAGCACGTTTCGAAGAATTGATTTTAAGAACGAATAGAATATTGTCGTGCAATTGAACGTAGTACATACTCGGAACTGATGAGACTGGCGGGTAAGATTCCACGTGAATAAATAACGTGGAAAATATAGGATTTTTTGATCCTTTTGATCGACTTTTTCTCCATCGGATGGATGATTATTCTTATATACGTGGAATGCAAACAGGTTAAAAAAGTAAATATCGTAGTGAAAAAGTCGCGTAATTGGCGAATCTTCAAATTCAATCTTCTCGAAGACTGATTTTCAAGTGAGAAAAGCTCTATATAATATTATTGTACATTTTGGGAGATAGAACAACTTCAGTTCAGCGGTTGAAAATTGTTCAAATTCGGGAACGAGGTAATGAAGAAAATGTTATTCCATTTTTTTCGAATTCTTATTTTTTTTTTTTACACCAAAAATATCCCGACGATAAATTTGGCCCTATTAATCCCGCATACGTACGTAATCCCTCGCGAAAAATTGGTTCTAGTTTTATCAATCGCGATACACAAGTTATGCGTATCAAATCGTAATAACATCACGTGTTCGTACGTGTGACAAGTGTGGCCGGATACCGGTGTCATTGCAAATAAATAAAAGGTTATGCGACTAATAGTGGAAAGAATAAGAGTGATTATCGTTCTCTGTACTTACTTCGATACGAAGAAACGACGATACTATCCCCAACTAGATGCTTCCTCCCGATGCGATAGAGACATAATTTCGAGTGTTCTCTGCCCGAGAGCATGACAACTCGTCCCTCTTTCTTCAAAAAATCAACGTCTACGTTTACGCCACGCCACACCATTTATTTAATCGAGGAAATTGCACGAGGAGAGGGAATTTTAATTCCAGGGGGAGGGAAGAAGAAAAAGATATTTTTGGATCGGGATTAAAATTATTCTGGAAAAAAGGAGGGGAGGGGGGGGGGGAAGGAAGAAATAAACGAAGGAAAAAGTTTGATCGAAAAAGAAAAAGGAAATGTGTCATCGCCATCGTTTCGTATTAAGTTTCGTTCACGATTGTCTGGTGAAACGAGACCTCGAGTTGAAACAACGTTCTAAAAACAAAGACACGATCGACGAAATGGAACAATTTAACGATTGTTCCCTCGCCTAGGAACAATTTCTGATCGAGTTATTATTATTGTTGTTATTATTATTATTATTATTATTATTATTATTATTATTATCGATAAACGTTCCACCCGATACGACGTACAAAGAGGAAAATCAAAGCAAAATCTGAAACAATTAACTCTTCCTCGATTATTAATTAGCTCGCGATATCTGTCGCGTGATGTGATCGCGCATTCTCTCTCCTCCGTTTCCGAGTGGTCGAAAGGGATCAGAAACGAAGTCGAAACGCGGTTGGATCCACGATATATAAGCCAAATATTTCCTCCCCGGTTGATTTCCACGGTTTCGCTGACACCGATCGAAAATTTCGTCGACGCGAAACGACGACGGAGCGCGAATCGAATCATGGAGGACACGCGGGGGTCGGGAAGAAAATTCGTGACGGTCGATGTGTTTGCTGGTTTCGCATCGCGCGGCTCCATCTCGCGACAACGTCAACGTTTCATCCAGACAGATGTATAGACAGGCAGCGTTGTAGGTCCATCAACGAGCGTGTGTAATTCGAAAGGGAATGAAAGGGATCGAGGGATTCTCGTCAATGAAACGCATCGTTTGCGATTGTCAAAGATCTTTCTTCTTTTTTTTTTTAATATGTACAAAGCTTTTCTCCTCTCTCTCTCTCT